ACAGCTGATCGGCGGCTCCAAAATGGCCGTGGATGGCCCGAAATGCCCCCCCGCAGCGTTTTCGCGACCTCCCTAAGCAAGGGGAGGGCGCGAAAATGCTGATAGGGGCCATTTCAGGTCATGCGGTGGCCATTTTGGAGCCGCCGATCAGCTGTTCGGCGGCTCCAAAATGGCCGCCGGAGCCCCAATCGTCGCAAAGCGAGTGCGGCGATTGGGGCTGATCCGTATAGCGATCCCCAAAAAGGGATCGCTATACGGATTTTTCGTTAAACGGTGCACTCGTTAAGCGAGGCACCACTGTATTGTGGTACATTCCAATGCAGCAGGGCCAGCCCATCTATTAGTCAAACTCAGGCGGTTGCTTCAGGTGGTGGAACATTGGTGCAAAGGAAGAGCCACCACTGCTACCAATTTCTCCCACCTGAGCTGGCCACCATTACCTCTTACTCTATTCCCCCCCCCCTTTCTAGCCAGAAGACTCACGTGGACGGTTTCACTTGTACAGTAACATTCTGAGTATACAGCGAAATTGCAGTAACTTCAAATGTGATGATGAGTTCTGCCTGGAAGAGAGGCAACATTGCATAACTTGGTTAATCCAACCTGCTTTGTGGGAAATGGCAGAAGCAAATTTCACTTTCGCACTTAAATACTCTTGTGACTCCTAAGGCCTTAGATCTATTAATTTAACAATATGCCATGAAGAAGGGGAAGAAACTTTAACAGGTTACCTTTAGCAAACACTTATTTAGCATTAGACAGTTCTTATATGAAAGAGTGGGAGATGACCCATTTTGCCCCCTGCCCCGCAAAACCCCCTAAGTAACAGAACAATTATGAGGATGCACGTGTGAATGTTACAACTGAGTTTTAGGCAAATATATTGGTGAAAGAAAAAAAAGTGTTTGATTTAGAAGTATATTCATTGTGAAGACATCCATCAAAGCAGCCCCACTTATTTTAACATTTTAGCCACTGGAAGTCTGATTGAAAAACAAGATATAATTCTATAACAATGAATATATACTGTTTATTTTTCTGCCCCACTTTTTTTTCTGGGAAGAGCTGAATCCATCTTGATAATCCCAACTGTGGATTCATTGAACCAGTGGGGACTTTTGTAAACTTACGGTTACCATTTCAAGGACTCTACTCCAGCTGGGATTAATAAATGGATTTAGTCCAGGGTGGCTAATAATCTATCAATTTGTTAAAGTTACTTTTTAAACTTCACACTAATGAGGGCACAATACACTGAAGTAGCAGATACATGCCATCCTTCTGAAACCACACTGAGTGCCTTCTGAAAATGGCTGCCTTGGGAACAGGGACTACTCAGTAGGGATTCCAGCGTTCTCTGAACTTCAAACCCCAAAGGAACTCCAAATGAGCCAGAGATAGCACAGCTAAAGGGTTTGTGAAGAGAGCTGGTCGGGGCGAATGTCTTGGGCCATCAGCTACTCCAGTAACACCACAATTTAAACCTATGTCCTCTGTGGGATGATATCCCTTCACGTGAGCGACCCACAGAAAAGCACTAGCCTTCCCGGACCATTTATAGCCAGAAACAGCTCACCTGCTGGTTCTTTTTGAAAGGGTTTCCTATTTCACACAACACTGTCTCCTCAAAAGTGCAGGCGCCGCTCTGAAAAAAAGAAAAGGAAAAAAATGAGTTTTGCTGTCTGACTGGTGGCTCCTTGATTTCATGGACATCAAATTGGATATGACTTTTTTTTTTACAAAGAAAGCCTGGGAGTAGTGCAGCTGGAGGGGGGAGATGTGTTCAAGCAGAGATCCCATTTCAGTCGCTCCACCCCTCTGATAATGGCCTAAAGCAAATCAGCAGACTACCCTATCTTAGAATCATGTAAAGGTACAGGTTCCCCTTGACAATTTGTCCAGTCGTGTCCGACTCTAGGCGGCAGTGCTCATCTCTGTTTCCAACCCACAGAGCTAGCATTTTGTCTGCAGACAATCCTCCGTGGTCACGTGACCAGCATGACTAGACACAGAATGCCATTTACCTTCCCACCAAGGTGGTACCTATTTATCTACTCGCATTTTTGCATTTTGCATGCTTTCGAACTACTAGATTGGCGGGAGCTGGGACAAGTGACAAGGGCTCACTCTGTCGCATGGATTTGATCTTACGACTGCAGGGCTTCTGACCTTGCAGCACAGAGGCTTCTGCGGTCTAACCACATCCCTGAGACCTTAGAGCTAGAGAATAGAAATTATTTTATTGTTCTGTCAGAGATGGGAAACATTTGCTTTAAGAGACTAGAATTCCACAAGCTAGGGAATTCTGGGAATTGTAATTGCCTCCTCCCCCAAATGTTTCCTGTATCTGTATTCCAGGCAATTCACAGGCCAGATGATTAGCCTATCGAGAACATTACTAGAAACTCCAGACAGACATCCATTCTTCAGGAACAAAAGCAGGACTTTCTGTCAGAATCTTTTTAAAAGGAGATGCCAGGGTTCAAACCTGCATACCTCCTGTATAGACAGCAGAGCTATGTATCAGTATTGCTTACACTGGGAATTTAGGTCTTTGATCAGTCCAATGTCATATATTTTTTCAGTTGCTCTGTGCTTTTTGTTCTGCAGGATCACTGGGATAGGAATATTTTCAAGTGTACTGACAATGCAGTGCATTCATCTGAGAAATTCACCCTTACAATGTCTTCCCCACAGGAAACATGTGGCAGAAAAGGTTCAGCAAAATTTCACTCCGCATGTAGTTGATACATTTTCCCTATCTTGTAGGTATCCTGGCAGATATTAAAGCTTTGCTCACAGGAGCTATAAATAATGTTCTTTATTACAAGTCTTGCCTTTTTAAAAACAAGAAAGACAGAGAGATGAGGTAGTGAGGGAAGGAGTAAGAAAGATGGGTGGATCTTCTAAAATTTAATACATCCTCTCATTCATACAACTCTAGGTGGGAAGTACTTCAGTATAAAGTGCAGATCTCTCCTCCCTCCCTGGGAAAACAGACAGGCAGACCCGGGCTACTGTTTTCTACAACAAATGCAAAGCTTGCATTTTGCAAAGTGAATGGAAAAAAGAGGGGATGGAATAGCTACTGACAAAAACAAGTCCTTCTGCTTATGAAATGCTGCTTGCTTTTGATGGGGCCTGCAGTTTTCCATTGATCCTCCCCTACCTAAACCTAGTTGCTGCTGTTGAATAGAGTAAAACAGTGAATGGGAAATACAGAGGGTAATACTGCTCATCAGCTCACAAAAAATACGGATCAGAGAATATCAGAAAGCTGTGTGAGGGGAATGAATGAGAAAGAACACACCCTGATGACTGAATGGGGTACAGGAGGGATACAGAGGAGAAATGACTGAATGGCTCTCCATTTTAACAAAAGACAAAAACAGTTATCATCAGTCAGAAGGTTGAAGAAAAATAGATAGAATAGGTTTATTATTACCAGGATGTAGGTAATCTGTGGAATTTACTGGGACATGATGCCGAGTAGATCACAGGCATAAAGTCAATGGGAATCCCTGAGATGTTGTTAGGCTGCTGCTCCATCATCCCTTACCAGCACAGCCAATGGTTGGATTTTCTTTTGTCGGCAAGGTGATGTCTCTGCTTTTTAAGATGCTGTCTAGGGTTCTCACTGCTTTCCTCCCAAGAAGCAGGAGTCTTTTAATTTCGTGGCTGCTGTCACCATCTGCAGTGATCATGGAGCCCAAGAAAGTAAAATCTGCCACTACCTCCATTTCTTCCCCTTCTATTTGCCAGGAGGTGATGGGACCAGTGGCCATGATCTTAGTTTTTTTGATGTTTAGCTTCAGACCATTTTTGGCGCTCTCCTCTTTCACCCTCATTAAGAGGCTCTTTAATTCCTCCTCACTTTCTGCCATCAGAGTGGTATCATCTGCATATCAGAGGTTGTTGATATTTCTTCTGGCAATCTTAATTCTGGTTTCCGATTCCTCCAGTCCTGCCTTTCGCATGATGTATTCTGCATATAAGTTAAATAAGCTGGGCAGCCTTGTCATACTCCTTTCCCAATTTTGAACCAGTCAGTTGTTCCATATCTAGTTGTAACTGTTGCTTCCTATCCCACATATAGATTTCTCAGAAGATAGATAAGGTGGTCAGGCACTCCCATTTCTTTAAGAACTTATCATAGTTTGTTGTGGCCCACACAGTCAAAGGCTTTTGCGTAGTCAATGAAGCAGAAGTAGATGTTTTTCTGGAACTCTCCGGCTTTCTCCATAATCCAGCGCATGTTAGCAATTTGGTCTCTAG